TTCTACCATGCCACACATTGGAAGACTCAAGCAAGTAAACAGAAGCATTCACTTTATTATTCATTTTTGGTTTAACAACCATTACATTGAGTTTAAACATTCCATTGGAAACATAACCTTTTCCGACAAACATTCTACTTTTCGACAAGATGACCTTGTCTGACTCAAATACAATGCGAAAACCATGCTTATTCAAAAATGACCCGGACACAAAGTTCTTGCGAATTTCCGGCACATACAGCACGTTATTGAGAGTTAGCTCTTTTCCAGAAGTCATCTTTAGAACCACTTTTCCTTGACCCTTGATTTCAGAAGTTGCTGAATTTTCCATGAACAACTTCTCTCCATTCTCAACTGCTTCAAAAGCAGTATATAATTCTTTATCAGAGCACACATGTCTCGTAGCTCCGATGTCAATCCACCATTCTTTTGGGTTAGAACCCACCATGTTCACTTCAAAAATGACTGCTGCGAGACTCATCTCCGACACATCATGTGCCATGTAGTCAACCACATTTGCTTTTTTCTTTTTCTTTGGCAATCTGCACTCCGAAGATTTGTGGCCTACTTTGTCACAGTTGAAGCACTTTCCTTGAAATTTCTTCTTAGGAATGCCCCCTTTTGGTCCCAGCTTGATCCATTTTCCACCGGATGGCCCAGCTTTGATTTTGTAGTTCTTACTACCTTAACCATGTTCAACAATATTGGCCTTAGCCGCACCAGGATTGAACCACTTTTTTTCGAAACTCTTGTTGTCTTCTTCAATTCGAAATCTAACAATCAGTTCTTTAGCATTCATTTCCTTTCGTTTGTGTTTCAGATAATTCTTGAAATCTTTCCACGCGGGAGGCAATTTTTCAATGATTGCAGCCACTTGGAAAGTTTCGCTCAGAATCATCCCTTCGGCATGAATTTCGTGAAGAATCACTTGGAGTTCTTGCACTTGATTGATTATAGTTTTGGAGTCCACCATCTTATAGTCCAAGAATCGGCCGACGATAAATTTCTTAGCCCCGACATCCTCAGTCTTATATTTTCTATCCAAAGACTCCCACAACTCCTTAGCAGTTATCATTGTGCTATACACGTTGTATAGCGAATCTACCAAACTGTTCATGATGTAATTCTGGCATAAGAAGTCCGAGTGTTTCCAAGCATTAACAGCACTGATAGCTTGAACATCCACCTCACCCTCTTGGAGTTTTGGAGCACTTTCAGTCAAAAATCTCGCAAGATTCAAGGTGGTCAGATAGAACAGCATTTTCTCCTGCCACCTCTTGAAATTCAAGCAATTGAATTTCTCTGACTTTTTCCCATGGTTAACTGGTACATTAATCAGAACATTAGCCACATGTTGGCTCACAACACGACTTGGCATTGGAGCCACAGCCTGTGTCATAACAGAGCTAGGCCCTGCAGCCATAGCTGCACCCATAGCCGAACTAGGCCTTGCACCCATAGTAGAACCCACAGCCTGAGATTGGGTACCTTCAGCTTGGGACACATCCATGTTGGAATCTATGTTGGTGAAACCGATTGCCATTTTGTCTTCCGAAAGAACCAAACAACAAATTAGTATCCACAATATAACAAATATAAAAAAACTAATCAGTTTAGAGATAATCAATATAGGAAACCAAATTTTCCTTTCTGAAAAATTTGTTTTAAGCTTGTAGGAATTCAGTGTATGTGGATAAAACAAAGAAATATTGACTTTCGTCTCGTCAATTTAAATGCGCAATTAAAAGACTCCCAGGTGAGGAGGGGGGTCACAATCAGACCGCTTAAATCACAAACTCTTCTTAGACAGTTTAGGTCTTTTTGATAAAGCCTTTCAATTTTGCAACTATGCAAATCAACAAAATTCAAACAACCGTATATTGAATTTTCACTAGATCATTGAAAGTTTTATTTCCAACAAATAACTTTTGTTCCAATAGAATTTAAAATTCATGAAGAATACGAACAATATATCATAAATTCATGAAGCATGGACTGTAAATTTAATACGAAAAATTGCATGAATTAAATAACTGAAACATAGAATTTTAACCCGAGGCTTGTGTTACACACAGTTTCCTTAAAATAGATTCGCCCCCTCACCGTCCGTGCTTGAGGTTTAAAACGAGCGTCCGTTTCCCAAGATACAACGATAAAACCAATAGCTTCCGAGCACCGCAGAAACCACTCCGGCGAACTGAACTAGTGCCTGAACTATACCACCACCAAGAGAGAACCTATGCAAATGAATTTCTAGTGTATTCTAAACTTGAAAACTTTTGCTTTTTTTGTGTGTGTGTTGAAATGAGGAAAATGAGCCACTATTTATAGGCTATGCTACCATTAAAGGCAATGACCTTTGGAGTTCCTCATCTTTTTCCTATGTGGGACAAATTCATTTTTCCCACATAAACTCCCTTTTGAATGGCACACTTTGAGCCTCAATTTCTCATTCACCCGAGCATCAACTTTGGCAAGTAAGTATACGATTTCGATGTACTCACGGAGGAGAACACAAATCAACTTTCATCTTCCAAATCGAACAACCGGGTCCCACCCAAAACTCGTGCCAAAGTGGACCAATTTTTCCAACAAAATGTTCATAAGACGGTATAACCTTGAACCGCAAATTTATGTGGTCTAAAAATTTCTGGTTTAGATTTAAAAATTTAAATTCTGTATTCTTTAATTAAATATTTTTTATTTTTAAAAAAATATTGTATAAGTGTGAACCAATTCGATATTTAAGAAACTATCCATATTTTTTGTTGTAATTTAAAAAAATATTGCAAAGCTAATTTAATTCTACCCCCATCCTATTTAATCATTTCTTTAACACTTTGATTAAAGTTTACTAATTAGTATCAGCCTGTTTGTTTCTCATTTTCATAGTAAAAATACATTTTGTAATAGTGATTGTTGAAAAATGTGTGGTTAGAAAATAAGAAAAAGTTTTAGTTTTGCGTGTAATATTATTTTATTAAAGAGTGTATGGTTGAAAATAAGAGAAAAAAAAATGTATTTTGGGAAAAATGGGTATCAAACAAGGGCTATGTGTAGCTAGATGATAACCTTGTTGACTTCAAATCTTTACTGTTTAGCGATTGACTAATTACCAGTGGAATTTTTCTTCCTTTTTTTTTTTTTTTTTTTTTTTTTTTTGGTTAATAATCACCCTTGCTTTCATTTTGACTTAAAACCAAAATATGATAATAAAATCATGTGAGAATTGAATGGTGAAAATTGAAATTAAGAATGTTTATTTCCACTTTTTTTTGGGTTTGATTCCGATTACAAGCATTGCATTATCAAATAATGCATTTCTCACTTGATATAATTTGTATGGTTTAGATTATGTTTGGTAAAGTTTAAACTGAAATTGAAATTGGTCAAACACATTTTCAATCTACACATTTCGTTATATTCATTTTTTATTTACACATTTTGCGGGACCTTACAGTTTAAGTTTTAATATAAACACTCCCAAACAAATAAATTAACTTTTTTTTCGACAAAGACATTAATATCCATTTAATTTTAGCCAAAAGTAAGAATACCCCAATATTTCGCAAATCAAAAGGAGAGAAAAAAAAAAAGAAAAAGGGCCAAGGACATGTCATGATCTATAGTGACTTTTAAACCATGTTAAAGCCTGGATGCATGACTTAACTAGTGACTTCTAACAATTCCAAGTTTGAAAAAGGGAGATGTTATTCGTACAGACCCTGTGCAAATGAATTTGTAGAGGAGGTTTAATCCTTTGAAAAATTGATAACTGACAAAATTTTGATAGTGAAAAGGTAAACCTAATTTGGAAATATTAGGGTGTAGCAGAACATGTTGCCCAATAAATAAATTTGATCCTATTGTTTGAAACCTGTTATATATAATATTGTTTAAAAGTAAATTGTCGATCCCTTATTAATTCTAATTAAAATAAGAGTGTGATTTGCATTAATGTTGAATTAATTACCATTCAAGAAATCCCTAAGATTTTCCTTTTCTAGAGGAAAAAAATCAAAAAAATATATAGTTCCTCTTAACAACTGAGGCTTCTCTTTAAGGAAAAGTTTTATATCCATTACATTCAAATTATATAAAGTTGTCATTTAATAAGGAACTTTAAATTTTAATATGAATATTGCTATTTATCATCACTCATTATGTGGCAACAAAATAAAATTAAATGATAGGTCAACATATTATTCAATTCCATCCAAACCCGATGGTATCCAAATAAAATTATCTTTAGCCCTTGTTTGAGCCCCATTTTTTTTTTTGGGGGGAAGAATGAATTTTTGAATAGTGTATTGATGGAAAATGTGTAATTAAAAAATAAGAAATTTTTTTTGATTTGCGTGTATTATTATTTTATTGAAAAATGTATGATTGAAATGATGTCAAAATACTTTTGAAAAATGTAGTTTTCCAAAGCTCAAACAAGGGACAGTTCAAGTTTCTTCGCTACCCAAATATCATACACATATAACATTTCTAACATCTTGAACTTTTAGTAAATTGACTCAATTTCATATTAGAGTAGGTAAATCTTCTAAGAACAGTTATCGTCATCGACTATTAATTGAAATTGTGCATGTATTAGACTTTCATAAGAACTTATGTGTGAGCGTGTGTTAAATTAAGAGTAGGTAAATCTTTAGCCCTTGTTTGAGTCCCATTTTTTCATCAAAATATATTCTTCAACAGTAATTTAATATCATTTCAACCACACATTTTTCAATAAAATAATATTATACACAAATCAAAAAAAATTTCTTATTTTTTAACCACACATTTCGCATCAATACACTATTCAAAAATTATTTTTCTTCTCCAAAATGAGGCTCAAACAAGGGATATATATGGACATATATTATTCAAATATTATTTTCAACATTTTTAGAAAAGCACTTATGCATACAACTTATCAAATATACATTTTTTTTTTTTTTTTTTATAATTTTCACGACGTTTATAATTTGATTGACTTACACACGAACTATAAGAAAAATTACAATATCTGTTAAAAGCAATTTCATTTATCTTACAAGAAATCAGTGGTCCTGGTTACGCGTTTTGGAAAATTAGATCACAATATTTTATAACGTGTCTAACTCGTCGTTTTAATTAAGAACCCTACACTTCGTTCCACTCAACTAGATTTTCTAAACCATGAATCATCTCCAGAATTGGAGCCTCCTGCATGGCTTTCTCCAGATATTTTACTTTCTGATGCCTACGATGTTCTTGCACATTCAGAAGTTAAACCACATCGACTTTCATTTTGTTGTTTGATCATCATCTCCCTTGGTGGCGGGGCCAGCCTGGTCGGACGACGATCAAATGCTCGAGAACTTCCCGACACTACGTAAAGTCGACATAGGCTCAATTCATGCCTTAACTGAAAATGATAAAAAAGGGTTAATCAAATTGAGAATTCCCAGAAAATAAATAGAAACTTGAATTTTCTACTAATTTTTTTCTATCAGTAGACGAGATACGAGTTAATTGAATTTATATATGTGCACTACCTTGGGAATAGAAGTGGGGAAATCTTCCTTGATGGCTCTATACTCATTCATTTTCCATTTTGTTTTTCTTCCAGTGGGAGCTTTCCCTATGTAAAACACCATGCTTTTCTTAACTCCAATCACTTTACTATCTGATGAATAAACATAACTTGGTGAACCAGTGGCCTTCCAGTAGCCCAAGGCCGTAGTCCGACTCGGCCTCCCTCCTCGTACTTCACTTTCCTGGCTCGGGACAAAGAAAAACCATTGCTCACTGTCTCCACGGCAAACCTCCCCCGAATGTTCTGCATTGGAAGACCAAAACAAAACCATTATTACTAACATAGGCATTCGAGAATGTGTAAGTAGAGAGGATTGGACAGTACTGAATAGTAATAAAAAATTAAAAAAGAATCGTTGGTACTTGGGAGGTGCCATGGCTCGAGCTGATAAACGTTGGTGAGGGGTATAACGCGATTTATGTCTCGTCTCGTCTCTTCGAGCTTGTTGTGTAGATAGAAAGAAACCAACTCTTCTTCTGTAGGGTAAAACCGAAACCCTGTTGGCATTTCCTCCATTTTTTCGTCTGTTTGTAAAGGCGTTACACAATTCTTGGGGGTTGGATATCTATCTATATATATACTTCTGATTGTGTGTGCTCCAAGTGGGTGGGTGCGTGGGAGAGTAGCCGAGTGAAAGGAGAAAGTCTGAAACTTTCACGCGGCTGAGCATGGAAAATTAAGATTCCTGGCCAACAAGCAGGTCTGTTTCCGCAAACACGATATAATATCATTGAACCAGTCAAACTCCTATTTTTAACCAATGAACTGATAGACTGGACATTTTGCCCCCGTTTGCCTCCATTCTCATTTTCACTCATTTTCTATTTTCTTATTTTTAATCACATAATCTTTCGTAAAATAATATTATATGCAAATCAAAAAAATTTCATTTTTTTCAACCACACATTTTTCAAAAAAAATTATTCCAACCTTTAAAATTGGCAAGAATGTAGACCCAACGAGGGCTATATAGACGACTATCGATTCTAATTAAGAGCCTGTTTGGAAATGATTTTGAAAATTAATTTTTTAACCATTAGAAAAAAAGTGGGTCCACCTGTGAGAGAAGAAGTCAAATATGACGACTGGAATAGTGAAATAACGATCAAAAAATTAATTTTTTTAGAGAAAAAATCACTCTCAAACAGGCTCTAAATTGGGTCCCGGCTATTTTGGTTTGGTTTCAATTAAAATCGATTTAGTTCTAGGTCTTAAAATTGAGAATCAAACGGTTCTTCTTAAGTTATCTGTTTTAGAGATAGAACTAAATTATTATTAGGTTCCAATATTTTTTTTTTAAATTATATCCCTTTTTGTGGGGGACTAAAATAAAACTTTTAGCAGGTTTTAATAAAAATAGATGAAATATGTGGTTGAAAAGTTATGACTCCTATAAAATATGTGGTTAAAATTAATCATTAATTTTGATTTAGATTAAATTTTAATTTTAATCACTACCAACTAGGGGCATATGAATTGACATGAATTAATATTTATTTTGAATAATTTAGATTTTTATTTTTTACAATATAAAGCATTAAAGTGAAATAAGAAAATTTGCACAACAATTTAAGCCTAAAAAGAATTGGTTCAATTCGATTTCCTTGTTCTCATGAAACCAGACCCAGTGGTCCATTTTTACGATTTCCAGTGAGATTCAAGAAAGTGGGTCGAACTTTTAAGTTAATCGAATTGAACCACCTTTTAAGTTAATCGAATTGAACCACCATAACTATTATTTATTACTGTACTTCACATCAATTTAATAATGGAGAAATTGCCTACAAGCTAGTGTCATATGGACGTTGATAGCTTATGTGTGCTCATTTTATAATTTAAGATAAGGTTTTTGTTAGGTAATTATGTAACATAATTGGATGCAAAGGAGTGGACCAAAATACACCACATTGTAATTCATCCATTCGGACTACTCTCAAAACTAAATATTCTTATTACCGCGTAAGGGATATGACTCAATAATAATAATTTATTGAAAACTTAAAATCTTACAACTAAATAGTCTTATTAGGCATAAGGGATATAACTCAAAATTTTAGTTTTTTCGTTGAACTCAACATAAAAATAATCTTATTTTATAGTTATTGTATGTTCCTTGACCTGTTAGGGTATATCCCGCGATTTACCTCCCTCACAAAGCTCTAGGGACGAGACGATGAGGCCCTCAAGGTTAGGGTTCAACCTTTACTTATTGTATTCTATATAAACAGTTGCTTCTAGAGATTAGATTTTATATATATGGAATATTTTGAATCGGTAAATCTTCTACAACTTGGATTGTGACTTATATTTACGTATTATGTTTTAAGTGTGTATTGAAAATGCATCATATTTGTAAATCATTCAATTCTATCATTTCACGAGTCAATGAAAACATTTTTATAGCTTTCAAATGAGACGACATGTAAGAAGAAGATATGAAATTTGTATCAATTCGGAGTCTAAAACTAATTACTATTTATATGGAATATTTTGAAATGATTAATCTTTTAAGACATTAAACGTTGAAGACAAATCCATTGCATGTATGTACATTTCTCAACATTCTATTCACGTGAAATATCTTCAAAATCATATCTTCTACAATATCGAATGTAACTTATATACTTGGTACACCTATAATTTAATTTAATTTATTATTATTTTTGAGTGTATGTACGTACATCAATCTCTTGTCTTCTACTATGTACTTGAATATATATTAACTTTTATATATGTACATCTTAAAATGAATATATTTTTACTCCTTCCAAATGAGACGTGGTGGAATAAAAAGTTATGAAATTTGTAATAATTTGGAGCCCAAATATTCTATATACATTATTCTTCTAGGACATCAAATTATGAAGTCACAATATTCATCATATGTATGTACCTTTTTTACATTCTATGTACATCAAATACCTTCAAACATATATTCTACAATCTTGAATACGAGTTATATATACATATTAACTTTTATGTACTTATGTTTATTAATCTTTAGTCTTCCAAGTATATATGTGAATATGTACACTCGTATATATTGACTTTTATGTAAGTACATCTTACATTCTTGAAAATGAAAATTCATACAATGCTTTCATCTCACGAGTCAATGAAAATTTTAAATTTGTAGCAATTCGGAGTCTAAAGTAAAGCTAATAACTTGTATATGAAAGCAATTAATCTTATATAACATAAAATTTTGAAGTCACATTCATTGTTTTTATGTATCTTTCTTTACATTCTATGTCAATGAATTACCTTCAAACCCCCTATCTTCTAAGACATTGAATGTAACTTATATATATACCTATTAACTTTTATGTTTGTACACCAATCTTTGGTCTCCTTCTTATATATTTAAATATATATTAATTGTTTTGTATGTGCATCTTAGCTAGTTGAAAATGAAATTTTTATGTTCAAATGCTCTAATCTCACGAGTCAATGATGAATTTTTTACTACTTTCAAATTATAAGTCATGGGAAAAGATATGGAAAATTGATCTATATTAACTTTTTTTTTTTTTTTTTTATGTTCATTGAATGTGACTTATAAGTGCTAAGAATTAGAGATTATAATTCTATCATCAAGAGGAATAAAATTGTAGAAAAAAGAAAATAAATACAAGAATACGCAGAATTTATAGAGGTTCGCCTTATTATGCCATTTTCTACTGTTACAATAATTCACTATAATAAAAAGAAGTTTTCAAGAAAAAATTGCATACTCTATTTTCTCTAATCTCCTTTCTTTTTTTAATAGTATATATAAAACCTTTTATGACGGCTCCATATTTATAAGACAAATTAGGATAAATTGAAATTATAAGTGTAATACTCATAAAGCATTCTTGGGGGTGTTTGTTTCCCATCTTTGTAAAAATGAGAATGAAAAATATAGTTGTTATAAGCCCCACACAAAAGATAGAAATTTAAATTTGGTGGCTTGATGTGATGGATAACAATCATATTTTTTATTTTAATGGAGAAATAATGGAAACCAAACAGAGTCTTAATGAAATTTTGGTCTTGTGTAATACTCGTACTCCTGGGAGGGAACTTCCTACATACTGACTTTGCACAATAACAAAAATTAGACTATACAACTTTAAAAAAAAAAATATAAATCGTAAAAACTAAAATGTGTACAAGTAGTAAAAATGTTAAACATTTTTAATTATAATAAATATTCATTAATCGATAATTAAATAACGCCCTTGTTTGATCCCCATTCTTTGGAGAAAATGAATTTTTCAACAGTATTTTGACATAATTTCAACTACACATTCTTTAATAAAATAATATTATACGCAAATTTAAAAAAATTTCTTATTTTTTAACAACACATTTCACATTAATACACCATTCAAAAATTCATTTTTCCCATCAAAATGGGGCTCAAACATGGGCAACATCTTTTAAATGATAATTTTTCTTAGGCCCAAAATATTATTTTATAGTGGTTTTAATGTGTGTGTGTGTGTGTGAGAGAGAGAGAGAGTACAGGGGCGGCGCCGTATGTCGCTGATAACATTTTAAAAACTTGTCAGAGATTTTTTATACATATACGTGAGAATACAAGGGCATATATATATATATGTGAGAATACAGGGGCGGCGCCGTAAGTCGCTGGTAAGATTTTAAAAACTTGTCAGAGATTTTTTTAACACACACACACACACATATATATATATATATATATATATACACACACATATATATGTGTGTGTGTGTGTGTGTGTTTTTATTTACACACACACACATATATGTGTGTGTGTGCCTATATATGCTAATGGATGGATTATACATTGATGTAAACTTTGAATTTTGTAACCTCAATTAAATAATAAGCTAATGGATGGATTATAATGTAAATCATGAAGATTAATAAAGGCTTTGTAGATGAAAAATAAAAATTGCTTTATTAATTAAAAATAAAAACTCAATGGATGAATTATAATGTAAATCATTAAGATTAATAAGTGTTTTGTTGATGAAAAATAAAAATTGTTAGAACAAATTACTCAATTGAATGATGAGTCACTAGATTTTCGTTGATTTTTTTTTTTTTTAATAATTGAATGTCAGTTTCACTCATATTAATTCTAACCCAAATGATAAATATCAATTAAATATTTCACCACTTATATTAATTTTAAATCAAATGATAAATATTAATTAAATTGGTAATAAGGGCTTTGTTGATGAAAATTAAAAATTGTAAAGAAAAAAA